TGTTATCAACGCCATGTGCTATCCCACTGAGCTATCCAGGCTTGTTGTTATGTTTATGCCCTGTCTTTTGCCCTAACAGGGACTCAAGGCGGCTTACGGATAAAATAATAACAGCTAAAAACAATTACACATGAATAGAATTAAAACTATGATTTTACACCATGAACCCTAAGTGCCCCCAGAATCACACTGCTATTATCTCCTTCTTCTTTAGGATGGGGACCAAATGCCTTAACTATGGCATGAGAATCTGTTCAACAGGTCCAGCTCCTCCCATCACAGATTCTCTCCAATGCGAACAGGCAGAAGGTCCTACACCTGCAGGCGGAGCTGAGAAAGCGTCCCTGATTCCAGAGCTGCTGTCAGCCTGTGTAGACAAGACAGCAAGGTGGACCAATAGCGTCACTCTGTATAAAGCAGCTGCCTAGGTATATCTCACCTGTTGCCTTCCGGTGAAAGCACAGGTTGTCTAGCTACATTTCTCTGCACCATGTCTGATCTCTAAAGCCCTATTGAATCACACACCCACATATTCATAATAATAATAATAATTTATTATTTATACCCCGCCCATCTGGCTGGGTTTCCCCAGCCACTCTGGGTGGCTTCCAACAAAATATTAAAAATACAATAAAGCATCAGACATTAAAAACTTCCCTAAACAAGGCTGCCTTCAGATGTCTTCTCAAAGTCAGATAGTTGTTTATTTCCTTGACATCTGGTGGGACGGCGTTCCACAGGGCGGGCACCACCACCGAGAAGGCCCTCTGCCTGGTTCCCTGTAACTTTACTTCTCGCAGGGAGGGAACTGCCAGAAGGCCCTCGGAGGTGGACCTCAGTGTCTGGGCAGAAAGATGGAGGTGGAGGTGCTCCTTCAGATATACTGGGCTGAGGCTGTTTAGGGCTTTAAAGGACAGCACCAACACTTTGAATTGTGCTTGGAAATGTCCTGGGAGCCAATGTAGGACTTTTAGGACTGGTGTTATGTGGTCTTGGTGGTCACTCCCAGTCACCAGTCTAGCTGCCTCATTCTAGTTGTAGTTTCCGGGTCACCTTCAAAGGTAGCCCCACATAGAGCGCATTGCAGTAGTCCAAGCGGGAGATAACCAGAGCATGCACCACTCTGGCGAGACAGACAGCGGGCAGGGAGGGTCTCATCCTGTACCAGATGGAGCTGGTAGACAGCTGCACTGGACACAGAATTGACCTGCGCCTCCATGGACAGCTGTGAGTCCAAAATGACTCCCAGGACCTACAGGGGTAGTTACCCCATTCAGACCAGGGAGTGCTCCACACCCACCCGCCCCCTGTCCCCCCAAAACAGTCCTTTTGTCAGGATTCAACCTCCATCTGTTAGCTGCCATTCACCTAGGTTCCAAAATGTACCTTTAAAAATGCACACCCAGAGACACACAGACATTGTATGCCCTCACCCCACCAGGAAGAAACCTGACTTCCATTTCCAAATCAAACCATTTCAGGTGGGGGCAAAACAATGATTTCTTTGCACGTGATGTGGAAACGTCTGCTGAGACAGGCTCATATACCCACCCATTTGGCTTGGGCAGGGCATAGACCACACAGGCATCTGACTCCAAACCAGTGGGGGCGAAGTTGGTGGTGGGGCCTCCATTTAAGCCCAGAAGGCCCCACGCCCTTCTGTGTTGGTAGCTCCAGACACGCCTTGCATTCCAGGCATAGTCCTCCCTTTCATGAATGGAAAAGCATCTCTTGTGTTAAAATGCAAACAGTCTGAGAAGCAGCTGTGTTACTCATTCAGAGGTTGCACAAGTTGGCCGATTGTCACCTGGTGCCCTCCAAGTGTTTTGCCCTTCTGCAACTCCCGCCAGGAGGGTGCCAGCTTGGGAGACGGTCAGATCGCACGTGCCACTGTTTGCACATTTATTTTCTTTGCAAATGGCGCAGGTTCGCAAAGGCCCAACAAAATTTAAGCCAGACAAAAGCGGTGAGTGAAAATCCTTGCGTAAGGCTTCCTCGATTTAGGTGCAGGGACCAATCTAACATTTTTAAGCAGAAGACGCCTGGCAGGATCCTGACCCTTACACCAGGTGTGTCCAAAAGGAGTGTCGGCTTTCAAAACCAGAGCGGGCGCCCGAGACATTTGGTGGCCTGAGGCAGAGAAGCCATCAGCATCTCCACCCTCCAGCAGTCAAGGTGCCCAAGGCCACTCAGGTTATTTTGGTGCCTGAGGCCAAGCAAAAAAAGGAAGAATACAGCAGCAGTACGTTAAATAAAAAGGAATGCGGGTGGCGCTGTGGGTTAAACCATAGAGCCTAGGGCTTGCCGATCAGAAGGTCGGCGGTTCGAATCCCCGCGACAGGGTGAGCGGCCATTGCTTGGTCCCTGCTCCTGCCAACCTAGCAGTTCGAAAGCACGTCAAAGTGCAAGTAGATAAATAGGTACCACTCTGGCAGGAAGGTAAACGGCATTTCCGTGCGCTGCTCTGGTTCGTCAGAAGCGGCTTAGCCATGCTGGCCACATGACCCGGAAGCTGTATGCCGGCTCCTTCGGCCAATAAAGTGAGATGAGCGCCACAACCCCAGAGTCGGCCACGACTGGACCTAATGGTCAGGGGTCCCTTTACCTTACATTAAATAATGAGCAATTTGCTTTCTCCTGATACCCAAAGTCAGCTACTTCATTCCGTCTAATGGCAGAGCCAGGGCAGGAGACTTTTCTCAGTCTGAGGACCAGTTTCCTTCTGGAGAACTTTCCAGGGGCCTCATGCAGCAGTTTTGGGGGCCATCTGTTAGTGATTCTCCAGTTGCGGTTCCTGCGTTGCTGGGGGGTTAGACTAGATGTCCTTTGGGGGTCCCTTCCAAATGCGCTATTCTACGGTTCACGCGAGAGAGGAGCAATGGATACAGCCCTTAACTTTCTACAGCGAGGCCTTATTCCAGACAGACCGAAGCCGCGAGGTTTACACCTGGGCAAGCAATTTCATTCTGACCGGCTTTGGGGAAGGCTGTGCTAGCTAGAGCAGTGAGAGAGGAGTTCCACAGCTTGCCAGGGTTTATTTTAAACTCTCAACGTTGACGTGACCATGGCTCCCTTCCAAGGCATGTTGGGACAGCTTCCCAACTTTTGAAGAGCTCACATCAGATTTCCCCCCAAATGCTGCCAGCGAATCGCGCAAGCGAAGGGTTTGGCTTTTTGAACTGATCTGGATAAAGCAGCACGTGGTTCTGTTCTGGGTGGGTAGAGGCATTTCGCTTCCCAAAAACGTGAGCCACGTGAACTTCTGCCCGTTTTGGCAGCCGTCGATTGTAGGTTAGGGAAGCGCGTGCCAAGGAGGCCAGCAGTGGCAACGTGACACAAAGAGGCCGTTTAATTCCTGGTTTTAAAGTTTAAAAAGTTAACCGAGAGCTGCCAGTTGGGATCTGCTGCGAATGCAGTTTATTCTGAAGGCTGTTTGGAAAACAACAGGGCCTTTTCTAACCACCACGAATTCAGAGGGGCTTGTTTATTGATTGCCTTCATAGCTCACTCCCCCAAAAAGCTATGGGTATTGTTGTCTCCCACAAATACCCTGTGTGGAAGGAGCAGCCGAGAGGCAGTGGATCGGCCTGAGATCACTCAGTGAGCTTCATGGGCGAGTGGCGATTCGAACCCTGGTCTCCCAGGACCTAGTGCTACACTCTAACCACTGCACCACACTGCCTTTGGACAGGATAGCTTCTGCAAGCTATCCTTCTGTGTTTTGACCGAATAGTCTCCAGCTAAGCCAAGCTTGCATTTCAGGTGGTTTACGGCTTGCTAGCCTGTGCATTTAACATGGGAGAAACCCCCACTGGCCTTGATAAGAATAATAATTTATTATTTATACCCCGCCCATCTGGCCAGGCCTCTCCAGCCACTCTGGGCGGCTTCCAACAAAATATTAAAATACCGCAATGCATCAAACATTAAAAGCTTCCCTAAACAGGGCTGCCTTCAGATGTTTTCTAAAAGTTTGGTTGTTGTTTATCTCTTTGACATCTGGTGGGAGGGCGTTCCACAGGGCAAGTAAACATGCGCAAGATTTGCTCTTAAAACCCACAATCCCACATAATCATTACTACTCCTCCAAGCTGATTTGAACCTGGCAACCCTCATTCATGTCTCTGGGGTCTCAGAACTGGACTAAATAAATGTTATTTGCAGAGAGCCACCTTAGAAGATTTCAAATCCCATTGACACCACGGTTCCTAGTCCTCATGAGTTTTTATCATTTCTAGGAGGAAAGCTAGGATCCCACCTGCACAGACCGAACAATATCAAGTTGTGAGTGTGTTTCTACAGCTTTGAGGGATACCCCCCACACACATAGTCATCCTATTCCTGCCAGCTATTTTTTGTGGGGGTGGCATATGAATTGAACATGGCAGTAGCAAAAGTAGGTAAGAGGGCACAGTCTCAAAGCCAAGTGCCTTGGGAGATGTGGAAGTGTGACAGGCCAGGCAGGAGACTGTCCTCCATAAACCCACATGGTGTACTCTAAGCAATGTGGACAGTGCAAACAGCCCTTGAGTGTATTTAGAAACCAGGACAGCAAATAAACCAGATGTCATGGCGAAATACCTAAAGAACTGCAATTTCTGGGCAGAGCAGACTCTTGGGACAGCTGGTGCAAAAAACAAAAATAAATTGATGTCCCTGTGCAGTGCTTTTTCCCCCTAGAAAAATGTTTAGGGGTACTCTCATTTTCCTACTCGTATTGAAATACTGCCCCTCAATAAGGCCAAAGAGATTCACAAAATGTCTAGGGGTATGCATACCCTTGCCCCCCCCCAAGAAAAAAGCACTAGCCCTGTGGACAATCACCAACCCCAGTCAAGTCGCATTCACACAACAGAGGGGGAAATCATGTGATTTGCTGCAATTCCTGCATTGAAGTGGGTGGACTAGATGCCCTTGGGTTCCCTCCCAACTCTGCTGTTCTAAGATTCTGTGAATCTCCCGCTCCAATGAAGCTCTGCACAAAGACCAGCATTTGAGACTTTTTCTGAAACAGCTTCGCAGTTTATTCACTCCCTGATTACACACGACAGCGTTAGGGGTGGGGCGAAGGGACAAAAAAAAAGAGCGTTTTTCCTTTTCCCAATGGAAGAAATGTCAAGGGGTGCAGAGAGCACACACTGGGTGTACAAAGCAAACAATCATCATTCTTGCAATATCCGGGAGCCCCTCTCCCCCCTCAGGTGAAAACACAAGTTTAATACACACTGGCAAACCGGATTCAAGAGTTTCACAGATGGTCACCCCGACGCAGAGAACACCCAAGTGTGGGCTTTCAGGATCACGAACCATGAGCATAAATAGATATATATATATATACACACACAAATAGGGCCTTTCCTCTGCATCAGGGCAGGGTCTCCGTGGGAACCTCAAGCGCGAGGTGGAGGGCCCCAATTCCCCGGTTCCCTGCAACCCAGGAGGTGAGTCAGGGATGCAGGGTTCACAGTAGAAGCGATGGCTCCTAACTTGCAGAGATTAAGCGCCACCGTGAAGACGCGGGAGACACAGCAACCGGGTCCGAGCCGCGTCCAGAATTAGGTCGGTCAACAATGGCAGTGGAACCGCGCGCCATTCCAGGCGTTTGGGAATACAGTGCCCATCAGCCCCAGCCAGGCAAGGTGCATGATGGGTGTTGTAGTCCCAAGGCATCTGCTTAGCAATGGCTGCAGGGCTTATCACAGTGATGTGGAGGTGGTTTATTAAGAGACAAGTGCAAAATGCACGCACGCAAGTTGGAAGCCACCAACGGGCAGTAAACAGTTCGAAGTCTAGAGTCCCCAACAATTTGGTGGCACACACGAAACGCCACAGATCTAAGCCTGACCAGTGAGCAAAGGCCTGGCCTCTCACGCTACAAATCAGTTAACGGAAAGTCCTTTTTCTCTAGACGGAAACATACAGCATTCGGGTGCAGGGCTCTTCCCCTCCCTAAACCTAAAAGTAGTTTCTTCAGGACGTTTTTTCAGAGCTCTAGGGTTGGGTTTCCAGGGCAGGGAGATAGTTCCAAGTGCCAAGTACTGCTAAAATTCCTAATACTGCAGCCCATTAGACTCCTTGTCACCCAGATACTGACAGTTTTTTGGGGGGGGGCTGGGGGCTTTTCGTAGAAGACAGTCCCCCAAATACTAAAATGCAGTATTTTTTTCTTCAAAATGTTTCCCTTCCGCTCAGAACTCCTGTGACATCTCTGCCCAGCATCCTGGGCTCACTATAAATAAACTGCATCCAAATTTAAAAGGTACATCTCTGTTTTCCACGCTTCTGCCACACGCGGTGGAAACAAAGAGGACTGGTAGAATGGGTTGGCAGTCAAAACAAAAAATTAAAAGCACTCCCCCATTTTTTAAAAAAACACACGCAAAATCTACAATTCTTCTGTATCTGAATTAAACATAAAAGGGGTTAAGAAGAGCCTGATAGGAGTGATATATCCCACAACTTCATTAAAAAAAAACCAGCAAGTCGTTCTACTTTGCAAAAACACAGAACGTGGGAATCTGTGCAAACTAAGGCTTCCTTCTAAGTGCTTTCTGCCTCCCGGTCCTTTGCAGTGTGCAACTGGAAAGAAGCTTTCGTTATGGACAGAGCTGATAAACGTTTGTGCCCACACTTTGGGGTGGAAGAACCAGAGGTGGGAGGCAGATTCCCCAGCCAGGAGCACAGACTGGCTTACTGCGTTTCTTTTCAATGGTAGTCCTGGGATAGGAGAGAGGAAAAGACTTGCTTCCCGGGCGCATTTTGGCCTCTGAAATCTTCGCCTCCAGGCGGACAGGCCCTTCGATGGGGCTCATGCACAACACACCAAGCACAACCTCGATCTCGCTTCCTATGCAGTTTGTGGGGCAAGATTCCTCGTTGCCCCTCTAGTGGACGTTTCCCAATAGCTGCCTAGTTTCCCCCCCCCCCTCTTGAAGGGAGGCGGCGTCACAAGCCGGAGGGTGCAGGAGATTCTCCCCCAAGTCCTCCCGGAGAAAAGGTTCAGAAGCTGGTGATAGAAGCTCATCTCCGGGGTCGGAGAGAGAGAAAAAGACCCAAGCCGGCAGAGGGAGATTCACAGCATGTGAGGCAGGTTCCAGCCCGCTGGACCCAGAGGTATCGCTATTGCTGGAGTTGCTGTTTAGACAAGCAGTTGCGACTTCCCCCACCCTCCCCAAAAAACAAATCCCAGAATCTGAAGTTTCCAAATGAGCACAGCCGATGGGGAAAAAAGAAACGTCGATTGTTTTTCCCGCGCTGCAGAAGTCCACCCTGAATTAAGTGTGTGAGGAAAAAACGGCTGGCTCCTTAATTCCCGCAGCAGCAGCCCCTCTCCCCAAATACCCCCCCTTTCCCAACCACTCCCTCCCCGCCTTAGAAGTTCTTGAGGCGGCTGTATAGCTCTCGCTTGCTTTTCTCCCCAGCCCAAGTGCGGCTCTTCAGGCGAAAATTGCGAAGGTCTTCTTTGAAGTCTTTGTGGTGCATCGGGCGGTAGTTCTGGGGTTCACAGTGCATCTGGTTTGGGGGGGGGAGAAAAAACAGTGCTTTGTTTATGTTTGGGACTGCTACTGTTATAGGAATTTTTAGGTCTTATATATATATGTAATAAATGTTCATAAATGTACCAAGCAAACACATATATAAATATATAAACCACATGTCTAAAACCCACAGGAAAAGCCATTTTGACTCTTTTGGTCAGCTCAAATATTTCTCTACAAGGTCAAAGGAAATGCAGAAACCTCCCCATTGTCCTCACAAATGCTGCCAGGCTCTCCAGTCAAGTGACCATTAACAGGTAACCTGGCGGACAGGGCAAAAACAACGCACTCAGATTTCTGTTGTAGACCGCCTTTTTGTGATGTATGTATGATGTTTCTGGGGGTAGTCTTGGACAATTTAAAATGTCTATATAAAGGCTTGCATGCATAACTTGGGAGAGTGTGAGGGGAGCACCCTATTGCTTTGCTTCTCAATATTCTCTGCTTGGCCTCTGTTATTTTCTCCTACCAATAGGGAACCCATGTAAGGACTCTACATGGGCTCTTGGGTACCCCATAAGGGGAAAGGAGTAGCTTTTCACTTATATCACTACAGTCGTACCTCAGCTCCCGAAGGCCTTGGGAGTAGAACGTTCCGGCTCCCGGACAATCGAAAACTGAAAGTGATGTGTTCCGGTTTTTGAATGTTCATTTAGAATCCGAACATCTGACGGGGCTTCCGATTGGCTGCAGGAGCTTACTGCAGCCAATCAGAAGCCACGCTTTGGAAGTCGAACGGACTTCCGGAACGGATTCTGTTGACTTCTGAGGCACAACTGTATTTTGTTGATGTTGTACAAATGATAAAATGCTGCGTTGATTTGTTAATCTTACAATGCAGGAATCTCAGCTAAATAATCCATGACCGATGGCCATCCAAGCTCTGCTTAAAACCCCCCAAGGAAGGAAAGTCTACCACCTCCAAAACGAGACCGTTCCACTGCCAAACAGCTCTTCCTGTCAGAAAGTTCTACCTGATGTTTCTGACTAAATCTCTCCTTCCTTGTAACTTGAAGCCACGGGTTCGAGTCCTACCCTCCAAAGCAGGAGAAAACAAGCCTGCTCCCTCTTCCATGTGGCAGCCCTTGAGATATTTGAAGGTGACCTTCATTATCTCCTCTGAAGCCTCCTCTTTTCCATGCTAAACATGCCCAGCTCCTTCAACCATTCCTCATAAGGATCAGTTTCCAGAGCCTTTATCATTTTGGCTGCCCTCCTCTGCACACATTCCAGCTTGTCTAAGCCCATCGCAAAAAACTCACTTGATATTGCGGGAAGAATTCTTTATAGCCTCCTTTCAAGACATACAGCTCAGGATAGTGCAGAGAAGGGTATTCGTTGCTGGCACGGTCTTTTTCCCTGACAAAACGGCACCTATGGAGGAGAGTGCAAATTGTTAACACACATAATCTTAAATACGGAGATGCAGGTGTACACACACACAATTTTCTTGCTGTTCTGGACATCAAAGGACTAAAAGTACAGGGTCAGGTTTAAGGTGCTGGTTTTGACCTTTAAAGCCCTATGCGGCCTAGGACCCACGTACCTACGGGACCGCCTCTCCTGGTATGCCCCGCAGAGGACCTTAAGGTCCACAAATGACAACACTTTGGAGGTCCCGAACCTCAAAGAGGTTAGAGTGGTCTCAGTTAGGGCCAGGGCCTTTTCAGTACTGGCCCCAATGTGGTGGAACACTCTGTCCCAAGAGACTAGGGCCCTGCGGGACTTGACATCTTTCTGCAGGGCCTGCAAGACAGAGCTGTTCTGCCTGGCCTTTGGTTTGGACTCGGTCTGACCCTTATGTTTCCCTCCCCTTATGGTCTGGATCTATGGGCTACTTTTAAAATGAGGCTACATTTTGAATTGCATTTTAACCTGTATTTTAAATTTCTTTTCTTTTCTCCCCCCCTTTTTTGTTTTTACTGTGATTTTATTGGTGTTAGCCACCCTGAGGGCTGGGTATAATAATAATAATAATAATAATAATAATAATAATAATAATATGAGATTTCCACTTCAAGCCCCTAGTCCTGAAGGAAACGGAAATCTGAAAACACCTATTTCAGAAAAACTGGGAGTGGCTGGGTTTCAGGAGAGGAGGCAGCAGAAGCCACTCACGTTCTGGGTCCTCTCTCGGAGGAGAACTCGCAGTGGAAAACAACGATCACCCTCTTTGACGGGTCACACGGCACAATGGGCTTCTTGAGAAGGAACTCTTCCACATCCTTTTCCAGAGGAAGGTTCACAGCACCCTGGAGAGAAAGGAAGGCAGGGTCAGGACAGGATCCATCAAACAGAACCATAGCAAAAAGCATCACCAGTTCCCTCCCTTCCACACCTGGTGCGCAAACACACTTTAAGTGCAGGCATGCAACAAAATACAAATCTTGTATTCTGGGGATCCATCTTGAGTGAACAAAGATTTCTGTGGGTGAGCAAGACTCAGACTTTCCGCCAAAGACTTTCACTGCCACTTGATGCTAAGTCTCTAGTATGATACTTTCCGATTTTGTAGAATCAGAATTGCAAGGGACCCCCCAGTGGCTATCCAGTCCAACCCCCAGGATAGGAAGATGTCAACAAGCCCTCGGCTGGGAGTAGAGTTCTATAGGGTCATGGGTTTTGTGCTTTGCCAGGACTCTTGAACTTGAAATGAAATGAACTGAAGGCACGTCTCCACCCCCATCGTTCTGCCTGGACACTGAGGTCCAGCACCAAGGGCCTTCTGGCGGTTCCAACCCTGCAAGAAGCCAAGTTACAGGGAACCAGGCAGAGGGCCTTCTCGATGGTGGCGCCCGCCCTGTGGAATGCCCTCCCACTAGATGTCCAAGAGATAAACAACTACCTGACTTTTAGAAGACATCTGAAGGCAGCCCTGTTCAGGGAAGTTTTTAATGTGTGACATTTTAATGTATTTCTAATCTTTGTCGGAAGCCGCCCAGAGTGGCTGGGGAAACCCAGCCAGATGGGCGGGGTATGTATGTATGTATGTATGTTTGTTTGTTTGTTTGTATGTATGTGTGTGTGTGTGTATGTATGTATGTATAAATAAATAAATAAATAAATTATTGTTGTTGTTGTTATTATTATTATTATTGAAATGCGGTCTAGTTTAAGCAAGCTAGCGGCTGAAGAGCTGGACATTGATCAGGGGGACAAGGGGTGATGAAAGGTCACCACTTCCCAGACTTCCTCTGGTACCCTTGAAGGCTGGCTCTGCAGGCAACAGGAACAGCCTTCCTCACAGGGGGGGTTGCCAGAGCAAAAGAAATCCTTTTTGCACGTCAAGAGTGCCAAACACAAGACCAAATCCAAGGGCCACAACTGATTTTAATTTTTTTTTTAAAAAAAAAAGCCCATCAATATACAGTTTACAAAACACTGAGGATACAGGGAAGAAAACACAGTTTTATAAGGGAGAAGTGATGCAAGGTTTCGTTTTCCCTCCAAAGTCGGTTGTGGGGAGTGAAGGGGGTTGGAATAGATGACCCCTGGTGTCCCCTTCCAACTCCAAAATTCCACGAAGGGATGGGGCCACAAACATCAGGGGTCAGAAGTAATTTTCAGGAGGCTTACTGGGATAAAGCAGAGCCAATGGCTTATTCCCTTTTTTCAAAACAAGCTTAGTTTGGCCTTTGGGGGTTTGCCCCCACCCCACAAACGCCCCCACTGGGAATAGCACCACGTATTGGCATTTCCAGAGATGGGGCGTCGTGTGGAAGGAGCAACCAGCTGCCATTGGCAACACGACCCAACTAAAATGCTACAAAAAGGTAGTCGCTGGTGCCCTGTGTCCAACCTGAGATGGACGTTGTTTTATTGGCACCTGGAGGGTCCCAAGCCGGGCAGGACTTTGGCAGGGTGATCCCCCAGCCCTTTGAGCTGCGCTTGGGACGGGGGAGGTTCCTCGAACCCAGGGCAGATATGGTCCAGCACCCGACCCCAGCCGGTGACCTCAAGCAGGCAGAGGGCTCACCTTAATGTGGCCTCCTTCGTATTCATAGGGATATCTGCAGTCCACGATCACACAGTTCTCAATGAGGTTGCTGAACTGGCCCATCAGCACAGCAGCCATCTGTGGGCAAGCGACAATAGTAAAAAATAAGCCATGTGCAGAATCACTTGTATTATTTTGCACCCAAGACATTAAGCACTGCTTGCTGCCATCCTGGGAGTGCAGCCTGGAAGAGGCCACTGGTGCCAGACTTCATTTTTATTATTATTATTATTATTATTATTATTATTATTATTATTATTATTAAGTTTTTATTTATACTTTTCACGTTTGTACATTTCATTAGTTCTACAATCATTTTAACATTTCAAAGTTCGACTTCCTTCCCTCTCTTTCCTTAAATTTATCATCTTCTGCATATCCAAATTCATTTAATTTGCTCATTTAATTACCTACTTTAAATATATACTCTTATAATAATAATAATAATAATAATAATAATAATAATAATAATGCTAATAATAAATGTTTATTTATACCCCGCCCTTCCTGGTTCAGAAAACCGGGCTCAGGGCGGCTAACAACAAATTTAAAACACTTTAATTGATGCTACAAAAAACAGCATAAAATACGGCATAAAACGTCAGTAACAATGAAATCAAAAATCAAATTGATAGGTAGGATTTGGTAGGAGTCTAAAAAGCCCTGGACACAAATTTTAATGGCTTTCTAGCGACTATGGTGGATCATGTTCCAGAAGTAATGTTTTTAGTGTTAACTCTGAAGTGTAGACTAGATTCTGACCAAACTCAGCCTCCTGGCGTATATTTTGCTCTAGGAGGAAGTTTGGTCAGAACCAGGGCGCATCGGTTTCTAGATGTGAATTTCCTCCCAGTTCTCCTTCCCCCACTATGGTATTTTTGAACAGTTGCACTGGGGCACAAGATCCATGGGTAAAGCAAGGCTGTATGACCAGGTCTCCAAGGTGGTGGCCCCAACAGCTGCGGAAAGCAGAGCTACAGGTCACTTGTGCGAAAGAGGAAGAAGCGGCCCAGGATAGTGGATTCCAAACTTGCTCACCATTTCTGGAGAGATGTACTTGAGGTCCTGGTGCTTCCCTTCCACCGTTTGCAAAACGTAAGCCTAGCAGGGAAACAAATGCATTTTAGTCCTTCTGAAAGGCTACAATTTCATTCAATTTTGCATTGTTTCGTGTTTGCACTGGTACTGCAAGCAGTCTTTTTTGGCCAAAAGGCAGTAAACACATAGCATAACCTAGCACGGTTTGCAGGGATGCAAACAGCGGGGTTCTTGCTGGTACCTTCGAGAAGTCTCCAATGAGCTCCCGATGGTCGTTGTCCAATATGTTTGCGATCTCGCTGGGGCAGCAGGAGCGAGAGCGAACCAGCCGAGGTTTCTAGGAAAAGCGGAGGAGAAGGACTGTTAGGGAGGCTGCACGGCCACATCCAGGATGCCAAACCCAGTAAGCATCCTGAGATCGGAACAGGGAACCATCGGCCCTGTACCGCGACTCCCATCAGCCCCAGCAAACATGGCAAAGAATGGTGGGAGTTGTAGATCACTGACACCCAGAAGGCCAGAGGTGGGAACTTTCTCCCGCTAAAACCGGCATCAGAATCTCCACCCAGGTTTTTGCTTTTTAAATAACAACTGATAATGTTATCAGTATATTCTGCTTTGAAACTTTCGTCGCAGTCAAGCGCTACACAAATCTTGCAAAATGAAATAAACAAAGCCACAACAAGTGTACAAAAAGCCGCTGTCACCCCTTTCTTCTGACGCAGCCCCCAGAAATTGAGCAAAACCTCACAAGAAATACGTGGCAACCCATTTTAAAAGACCGGGCCAGAAAGAGCCCTTAGGACTTGGAAAGCTAAGGATCGACCAGCCTTCACACTAGCAGCCTGCCTCCCAATTATATTATTATTTAAATTCATTAGTTGCTTTTTTTTTACCGCAGTAATTTGAAGCAACCTCCAACATCTTAAGCAAAATGCACACGTTAAAAAGAAAAATCTGAAAGTTTAAACTACATTAAAATATCCCTGCAAAAAGGCCGCAGATGGTTCAAAGCCAAAGGCCTGGTGAATGAAGAACGTTTTTGCCTGGCACCTAAAGATATGCAACGATGGCGTCAGATGGGGAGAGCATTCCCACAAGCAGGGAGCCACCCCTACAAAGGCCCTGTTCCCTTTATGGCTGCCTCCAACCCTCTCTCTTCCCACGTCCTTTTGAGGCAGCCTTTGTTGCATGAATTACCGGCTCTTCTTCCTTCTCTTCGATGGCGCCGCCAGCCAGACTCTTACGCCTTTTGTTTTTCACCGGCGTCTCTTTGTCCTGGGGCCGGTCCAGGCGCTTCAGGATGGGTCGGATGACAGCGCTGGGCATGGACGGGGAGCGGAAAAGACGGCGGCATTTGCCGGTTCCCAGGGGGCTCTGCTTCAGTTTGGGGGAGAAAGAGGGAAATCGTGAGACTCCAATACTGCATGAAAGAGAGACAGACCTTGGCACAGTACTTTTTATTTACCGTATTTTTCACTCCATAAGACGCACTTTCCCCCTCTTAAAATCTAAGGGGGAAATCTAAGAGACAAGCTCTGGGAGCAGCGGGAAGGCTGCGTGCAGCATTTCAGCTGCTCCCCGACCTGCTTTTTGGGGGTGCGGGTGGGGGAAAGCCGGGCTTCCCCCTGCCAGCCCCAAAGAGCAGGTCGAAAGGAACCCGAAGCCTCCGGAGCGCAGCAGGAACTCCCGCCACGCTCCGGAGGCTTCGGGTTGCCTTCACTGAAGGCGACTGGACGCACCTTGAATGCACTGGACACACCTTGTTTTAGAGGGGGAGAACAAGAAAAAAATCTCCCCTTCTCTGCGCAGCGCCCCTTCAGCGAAGCAGCAGGAGAAATGGAGGGGCTCCATTTCTGAAGGGGCGCTGCGCAGAGAGGTAGAGATTTTTTTCTTGTTCTCCCCCTCTAAAACAGGGTGCGTCCTATAGAGCAGTGTTCCCCAACCTTGGGCCTCCAGCTGTTTTTGGACTACAACTCCCATCATCCCTCGCTAGCAAGACCCGTGATCAAGGATGATGGGAATTGTAGTCCAAAAACAGCTGGAGGCCCAAGGTTGGGGAACACTGCTATAGAGCGACAAATACGGTATATAAAAACGCAACAAAGACAAAGGCATTTCACATGGCCTTGAAAAATATACTGTTTGTGGAAATATTGCGGGGTCAGGAGGAAAGGCCCGGAGACAAAGCGTTTTCCTGCATTGCAGGGGACTGGAATGGATGACCTTCAGGACCCATCCAACACAACAATTCTAGAAATTCTCCACCGCTGTTTCTTAGCAAGAATCAAGTTCCACATTGAAAATTAATTTTTAAAAAATAGGGGGGGGGGAATCAAGTTCCACATGGGGAAGGCTTGAATCAACTTGACTTTTCCCTCACAAATGTGGGGCAAGGCTTTGCCGACCTGGCAACCTCCAGAGGCTTCGAACTACAACTCCCATCAGCCCCTGCCAGGACACAGGAGTCACTGAAACAGTCTAACATGCAGACAGTTTCAATCTCAGCAATTAGTTGGAAGGCCAGGTGGCCATCCAGCCCTAGCATATCCAGAGCAGTTTGCAAGAAGCTCCAGAAGTGAGCGGCCCGCTCCCAAACACCCCACTGCAATAACTCTCTATTAGCAAAAAACCACACATACTATCTGCACAAGTTTCAGGCCTAATGAGGACAGCAACTCATATCTGGTAGGTCTTCCCCCATGAAGCAATTGTTGAGACTGAAGATCCCTGATTCCCCATAGCTCCTAAGTCTCCTCCTCTCCAGGATTTCCCCCAAGCAATCGGAGACTGTGCCTCTGTGAAGCCAACCTCTCCTCCGCCCTCTTCACGCCTCTCCTGGTTCTTGGAGATTCATCTCTGCCTCTCTCCTGCTTCTGCCTCCAATTCTGGGCTGCTCTCTTCCCCGGTCTCTCCCTGCTCACTGAACCCTGTTGCCTCTTGATCTTCCAACCCATCTTTTCCCAGTCCTCCCGCTTTAACCACTCACTGTCGTCCCCCCACAACTCCCCACTGGGGAAGGAGATGGGGATCTCAGGAGAGGAAAGAACGAGGGAGAAGGAAGGCCTGCCCTCAAGCTGAAGTTTCTCTTTCTTGAAATGCCACACCAACACCAGTACCAAGACCCTGGTCACCCACAGAATAAATTCTTTTTTGGAGGGGGGGACAGGGGACAAACAAAGGGTGTTAACACGGCACTGTCACGTACCAGGCTGGACTCATCTTCCTTCCTCACCAGAGGGGCCATTAGCAAGTTCTCCATACCCAACGGGAAATTTCCATCGCCCTGGAGGAGGGAAGGTAGGACCCATTTATAGAAGTGGGGCTGGCTCAGAAGACCCCCACCCCAGGCTGGGGGTTTGTGCAATAGGAAGAGAGGGCAGGGGAACCCCAAAGAAAACCCAACAGGGATAAGAAAGGAGCAAGGGGCTAAATCTAACAAGCAGGCAGCCTCAAAACACATCGGAAGAAAGAAATCCAAAGTAAAGGAATTCAAAAACAAAGCCAATAAATCAAAGCAGCCAATTTTAAAAACTTAGGAGAACAAAATATTCTGTGCTAGCTGATTTCTGGGCCATTTTTTGATGGCTGCCCCGCATACAACACATGACAGTACAGTGGTGCCTCGCAAGACAAAAATAATTCGTTCCGCGAGTCTCTTCGGATTAGCACTATTAGCGGCTATTAAAGGCTTAGCGTCTTAGCGGCTAAAAGGCTATTAGCGGCTTAGAAAAAGGGGGGAAGCGAAGCAAGCCCATAAGGAAAATCGTCTTGCGAAGCAACTCAAAAACGGAAAACCCTTTCTTCTAGTGGGTTTTTCGTCTTGCGAGGCATTCGTCTTGCGGGGCACCACTGTACTCTTAACTGTATATATGAATCTGCCGTACATACTGACGCTACTGGATCAAGTTACAAGAGATCTGCCAAGGATTCTTTACTTGTGGTTTTAGAGCCTGGGAGACCTGGGTTCGAATCCTCTTTAGCCATGAAGCTCACCAGGGTGATTCTTCGGCCAGCCAGCATCTCTCTGCCTAGCCTGGCTGACATGGTTGTTGCAAGGGTGAAATGGAACTATGGATGCCACCATAGCCTTCCTCGGAGGAAGGCTGGAATATGAATGTCATACAAAAAGGCGGTCCTTGCACAGACCCACAGCGCTGTTCCCTTGGGACTTCTACAAAATTCTACAAAATTTTGTAGAAATTCTATATTCTATAAAAAACTGCCTTCTGATGAGTCCGAGCTGCAAGCAATGACAAGCTCCACACAGAATTCAGAGAAAATCTCAATTTTGATAGCTTATTTTCTATCCAGGTCACAAAGACAAGTTCAAAAATCGGCCAGCTGTGTTTAGCACAGCTCTTCCCCTTCTATATGCCTAACAAGCAGACAACTAAAAGTCTAATTAATTTTGTGATTTTGGAGAAGACTCAACAAAAAACTGCAGTTCGCACACAGACATCAAAAAACAGCAGCGGAAATGGCGCACAGTCTGAGGTTTGCAGAGTGAGCCATGAAAGTTATATTGCAACGCCAACCAGGTTTCTTTGGGAATTTTCACCACTGAAACCTACTCCCAAGTCAGCCTTGCTTGGGATTGCAGTTCAAGCTGACAGAATTTTGCTTTCTTTGAAGCAAGATAGGATCTTAAAAGCCTTACCTTCAGGTCTTCTTCATCCAGGATTTCCAAAAACCCATCATCATCATTATCTTCGTCAACCATGAAGGAGGTCAAGGACGAGCGGCGGAGGTAGACATGGCTATCAGACCCTGGGCTCCTGTTCTCTTTCTCTGGGCTCGAATACTGAAAGGGGCAAGGAACACAGAACCATCAAGACATTTTGCATTTATTAAACTCCTTTATGCACTAGGAGATGGCTCCCAGAGTGGCTTTTTAAAATAACAACAATCATAAATTCAGTAGCATTACTCTTGGGTTTGCAATCTTAAAAAGGCATGGCACAAGAGGAAAAAGGGACAGGAGGGAGAAGGAAAACATGCAACAGTGAAAGACATGAAATGGGAGGGGGCTGAAAAAAAGCCACCGTTGTGTATTTGTTTCAAAGCACCTTGCCCCTCCACCTTGTTCATTTTATTATGGTCATACCCTGTTCTTCATCAAACGTAGAACAATGGCAGCAGGATGTAACAGGAATTCCAGGAGATCTCCCACCCGGGGTCTGTCTAGACTAAGACCTGCTTAAACCCAGCTATGTGACTTTAATTGGCAATTATCAATTGGCTGCAAAAGGGGAAAAAACCTGGGGGATTTCTATGCTTGCCACTTCTGCAACAAAAGCTGTTTTCTCCCCCCCCCCCCACCAATTCTTGAAGAAGAATTGAGTGCAATGCTCAACATGTCAAATGTTCTCCCGAAACGCAGCAACTGCTGGAATTGTGCGTGTCTGCATCTAACCTAAGCTAAGAGGCACAGGCACAGTTATCATCCGGCTGAGAACCAAAAATCCATCCTGGATTTAACGCCAAGAATTAGGAAACGAGAGGCGACCAAAAACTGCAGAAAAGCAAATAAATCAGAGAGTATTGCTCTTGCAAAAGAAGCACTCACCATGAGGTCTGGAGCAGAGTTTGGCCTCTGTGCAAAGGGGTCTTTCTTGCCAGCCCCACCACCGGAGAGGCACAACCTGCCGGCAGGTCGCAGGGGCTTCTTGAAGATGGCGCCTTCCTGCAGGGGGAGGAAGCAGAGATGCGCTGCAACTTTCGGAAGGACGCGAGGAAGTCGCCCGTTCAGCAGCGCTGCGCAGTGGGCGGAGAGGGGAGGTTAGGGGGCTGCACCAGGAAGGCACAGTTCTCACCACTTACATTTTCCCCATTGCCTTGGAGGCCAGAGTCCGTCTCAGCCGCCGCTGGGCTGTTGAATTCCTTGCGGTTGGAAATGTTCCTCAGCCTGGGACTTGAGCCCAGAAACTGCACCTGTCAAGCCACAGAAGGAGGATGAGTTTTGCACTCAGGTTTAGATTCTCATGGGCAACCCCACAGGACAAGCGTCTCCACCCTCCATCGTTCAGCCCGGACACTGAGGTCCAGCTCCAAGGGCCTTCTGGCAGTTCTCTCACTGTTAAGTTACAGGGAACCAGGCAGAGGGCCTTCTCAGTGGTGGCACCCACCCTGTGGAATGCCCTCCCATCGGATGTTAAGGAAATAAACTACTGTATCTGACTTTTAGAAGACATCTGAAGGCAACCCTGTTTAGGTACGCTTTAAAATGTTTGATGTTTTATCGTGTTTTTAATATTCTGTTGGGAGCCGCCCAGAGTGGCTGGGGAAACCCAGCCAGATGGGCGGGGTATAAATAATAAATTATTTGTTGTTGTTGTTATGAAATGCCCACAAAAAGCAGGGAATGAATTTCTGCAAGCACATCCTACATCACTGCAGTTCCTTGCATTGCAAGGGGTTGGACTAAAGGACCTTTTGGGTGCCCTCCAGCTCTATGATTCTACAATATGGCTGCTGAAAGATTAGGACTCAGCCTAGCTGCACGAAGACTCCCTTGCTCCTGAGCATGTAAAGAATATTTCCGTCCCTACTTCTCAAGATGAGGAGGCACCAAGCGAAGCTTCCCGATTTTAAAAAAAACTGGTAAACTTACCGGCAAAGATTGGATTCTTCTGATGGGAAGATAATCACTGCAAGGAAAAAGAGAGAAATCATCGTCAGCCGCAGACTTTGGAACTCTCTCCCACTGGAGATTTTTATCCTACTTTGAATCTGTGCCTGGTCTGAAATTATTTAGGAAGGTTTAAAAAATTGTGAATTTGCATATGAAACTGCTGTGTTTATTGTGGGTGTTCTATTCTCAAATCACTTTGCAATGTTCCATAAAAAGACATTCACATGTGAGTCCCGCTTGGTAAATTCTCCTTCACATGCAATAGCAATTTCCACAAGGGACATTTGCAGCCTCTCAACAACACCCCAACAATCCCAAAGGGCAGATCCAGGCAGGACTGACCTCTATGAAAACCTGCAGATAAACAGCTATCAATCAGTGGAGGCAATACTGAGTTAAGACAGTACAAGGCAGCTTCCTGCATGCAGACCAGGAAAACCTTGCCGCTCGATTCTGCTGCATGCATAGGCGACCTAGTTAGTTCAGTCTCCCCAGCGCCATAATGGGAGCCTTGCCAATAATAATAATAAAAATAATAATAATAATAAGCAGAGACAGGAAAAAAGCCCACCCACCAGCCCCAGGAACCTGGAGATAATAAACCCCTGAAATATTATTAGCGTCTGCAAGTCTTGGCGTGCTCAGGCGACGTGCAGAAGGTAGCAGATGGTTTCTTAAGCAAGACAGGAGTGGGTGGGGGGGGTGAAGCCCTCAAGGATGGGGAGTTGAGGGCATCTCAAAGGAGAAAGGGGGAGGGAGAGAAAGAGTCAGGGGGCTTTCCTGGGTCATTGTGCCACTGTAGGGTGTAAAGAACTTACTTTCTGAAGACTCTTTGAGACCCGAACATGTTCCTCTCAAACCTGTTGGATGAAGACAGGAAAATCATGCAGGTTTCGCTCAGTGTCAAGCGGCACCCCCAATGCGTTGCTGCGAGAGTCCCTGACTTGGGGAGGCCAACAGCCTCCCAAGGGTGCCGTGTGGGCTAGCGTGGGTGCGAATCAGGGCCAGCTACACCCTAATCCGGGCTGCGTTGCCCCAAAAGCAGAGAGGGAGGCAGAAATCCTCCCATTCACACAACTTAAGACCATCAAAAGAGCCTTCCTGGATCAGGCCCAGCTAGTCCACAATGGCCACGACCCAGGTGCCCCAAAGGGAAATCTACAAAGCAGGATTCGAACACAAGAGCAGCACTCCCACTTCTTGTGGTTTCCAGCAAGTGGGGTTCAGGAGTGACAGTGGAAGCAGAGCAGAGCCATTGTGGCCATAACCCTTTCCTCCTCCTCCTCCTAATCCACTTCTAAAGCCATCCAGTTTAGCTGCTATCACAGCTTCCTGTGGCAGGGAGTTCCACAGTTTAATGGACAGATGGACTTCGTTCTATATGTCCCAAATTTCCCAACATGCAGCTGCCTCGGACGTCCCTGAATTCAAGCGTTAGGGGAAGAGGGAAGAAAACTTTTCCCCACCCTCTTTCTCCCGTCATAAACTTCTGCCGCCTCGCCTCTTCCTCGCCTGCTCTCTAAATCAAGCAATTCACCAAAAAAGGCCGTCAGCTGACCAGCTATGAATTTTTCTTTTTCAACTCTGCACTTCAGAAACTAAAAGCAGTTGCCCAATGTCTTGCTTTTTTGTGCCGAGTTCAGATCCCACTCCTCTATAGCCATACCATGTTCAGCCATTCCTGTCTCCCGCTGTGCAGTGGTTTCACACGCACGCACACACAGTGTGTTCCAGCTGCCCTGAGCTGGGCCCCCTTGCGCTGTGGCCACTCGAGAGTTAATAAGCGTGGCCCGGGCGGTTGCAGGGTGGTCTTTGTGGAGACATGAAAGCGGCTGCCAGCTTTGGGCAAGGAGGGAGGGGGCCTTGCTTCAAGGATCTCCAGGAAAGAGGATCAAAGATCCCTTTTTGCATGGAAGTGTGGGGAGAACAAGGGCATTCCCATGGCAGCGGGTGCTGCTGCGAATCTGGGTGGGGACTCTCCCGGGTGCCATCTGCCAGCTACGTGGCACAAACCCAACCCCCCCCCCCCGGCTATTGCTGAACACACACGCCCATCGCCAGCCTTCCAAGTAAGGTTATTCCCCTCTGCTGTTAAGCAACATTTGCAACGGAGGTTCGGAGGTTCGCCTTAATTCAGCCAGGGCTGCGCAACAGAAAACGCAGCAAGCCACGCGCTGCAGATCACTTATAAGGATGGCAAAGATGGCTGGATCAGGCCAGCGGCCTATCTGGCCCAGTCACACAGCGGCCGACCAGGATCCAAGCACAATAATAAATAATAATTTTTTTATTTATACCCCCACCCTTCCCGGTTCAGAAAACTGGGCTCCGGGCGGCTAACAACAAATTTAAAACACTTAATTGATGCAACAAAACCAGCATAAAATACAGTATCAAACGCGAATAACAATAAATTCAGAATTCAAAATCAATTTAGGGGGGAAATCCACCCAGTAAACAATAATAATAATAATAATAATAATAATAATAATAATAATAATAATAATAATAATTTATTATTTATACCCCGCCCATCTGGCTGAGTTTCCCCAGCCACTCTGGGCGGCTCCCAATCAGTGTTAAAACAGTACAGCGTTACATATTAAAAACTTCCCTGAACAGGGCTGCCTTAAGATGTCTTCTGAATATCAGGTAATTATTTATCTCTTTGACATCTAATGGGAGGGCGTTCCACAGGGCGGGCGCCACTACCGAGAAGGCCCTCTGTCTGGTTCCCTGTAGCCTCACTTCTCGCAATGAGGGAACCGCCAGAAGGCCCTCGGCGCTGGATCTCAGTGTCCGGGCTGAATGATGGGGGTGGAGACGCTCCTTCAGGTATACAGGACCGAGGCCGTTTAGGGCTTTAAATGATCACCAGGGCTAGCTGGGCAAGTTAGTCCTATTTGGGCCAGTGAGGAGAACACTGTGCAGTGGTCCGGGGCTGGCTTGCTGCGTAATCGCGCAGAGTTGCCCTAGATCAGGCTTCCTCAACCTCGGCACTCCAGGTGTTTTGAGACTACAGTTCCCATCATCCCTGACCACTGGTCCTGCTAGCTAGGGATCATGGGAGTTGTAGTCCCCAAACATCTGGAGGCGCCGAGGTTGAGGAAGCCTGTTCTAGAGGAAGATGCACACAAGTCCATGTTTGTCCAGGCACACCTGGCTGGGCTGGGCTCACAGCCCACAAGTCCCAACCAAAAGGAAAACGGATTCAAAGCCCACCCAACCCCTCGCTGCAGGCTCTTCACAAAGGCAATCTCCACCCACCGCAGACAAAAGAGACAGTGCAATCTATTGGTTACAGTGCCAGACAAGGGCATGGGTTCAAATCCCGCCACTCAGCCGTGAAGCTCCCTAGGTGTGACCTTGGGGCCCCATTGCTATCTTATCTCAGCCTAGCCTACCTCGCAGAGATGTTGTTTGGGGGGCGGTTAAACAAAGAGGGGAAAGAATGGATGCCACCTTGAGCTCCTGGGTGGAAAAGCTGGGATATAAATACAGAAAATGAAAATACTAATAGGAAGGGAACAGAACTCCCCCCAATGGAAGGCCACTTCTCACAAGCCACCTAGACGCGGGGGGGGGGGCTCTCTCCAAGGCTTTCCCTTTGCAGATACCCCTTTGAGTCTGTCCCCCAAGTACAAAAGGCCTCACTGAAGCAGCCCCCGTTTCAAGAGGGGAGCCTGTTGCATCTCCCGACACCTTTGAAGATGGATGAATGCAAGAGAAGGAGGCAGAAGAGAAGTATTTAAGGTCCTTCAACTGGACAATCGCGAGGAATGCAAGCTTTCTCTCTAAAGACCAAGAGGCTGCGGCTCAGAAATCCAGGCAGATGTTCCCTGCTTCAATAAAGGGGGCGGGTGGAGTTCCAACCATCTGTCTCCGATCCCCATTCACCCGCCTTGCAGCTGCCAGGCTAGAAACCGCCCCCCCCCCACAGGGCAGGTGCAAAAGGGGACTTTTAACTTGTTAAAAAGACCAAGCCGAAACCGCTTTAAAAAAAAAATCTCCAGCCCTGTGGGAAGCGAGAGAAGCTTCTAATTGCACAGTCTCAAAAAGGTGCCTTTTAAAATAATATTAGGAATGGGAAATATTAGGAAATATTAGGGGGAAAGTGTGTCAACGCTGTATTCAGTTGCCAGGTTTTGCAAGGGAAACAGATGAACTTGCCTTAATTCCAAAAAAACCTCCACTATTTGGGAAGGTTCCATTGTCACAGATGGACTGGCCCTGGTCAGTTACAACCGCCCCCCCCTAAAATGCTGGGTTGACGGCTTGCCTTTTGCGTGCCCAGGGGTCCCCGCCTGCCTTCAGCCCCTCCAACTAATGGGGAGGGGGAGTTTTAATCAAGTTTCTAAAATGCTGGCAAACTGATCAGCTGCAGCAACAGATTAAAAGCTGCAGTACTTTCAGCATGACCAGCCCAGGGGGGGGGCGAGAAACAGAAGGAAAAAGACTCCCAAAGGACGTTTCCCGCACCCTCCAGGCCCAATGAGGCCATGGCATATTGGGGCTCCAAGTAAAATAAAAAATGCAATTTGCTGTGGTTTCCCAACACACACACTTTTTATTAACTGTCTTAAATTGTTGTTGTGGTTGGTTTTTCCCATTGATAATTTCATCTCTCTTTTTTTCCTAACTGCTTGCAAACCGCTTTGAGGTGGGCGTGTTATTTTATTCAATCCGGTGCTGTGAGAATTTTACGAAATAAATAGATAGGGTAAGAGCAGGCAGCCTTTCGAAAGCAAAGCAACCTTTTCAAAGGAAACCCTCAGAGTCATGCTGACCGGCAACTTTGCAGAGTCTTTCCTGTTAGACTCTGAAGACATCGACAACAGGAAACCGTCAGGAGTGCGGTTAAGACCTTCACCCATCAAGTCCCAAGAACTAGACAGGGGTCCACCCACGCAGCCCCACACCTATTTTTTTGGAGGGCAGGTTTCAAAAATACCGGTTGGGGAAGCAGTTCTTATTTTCCAACCACTGAACCATCTCTTGGCAGCGGCATGGCCCAAAGTTTTTTTGCTTTCTGCTGGCAAAGGTGGAGCTCTCTTAATTCTCCCACGGAGGCTGGTTTTTCTCAAGGCTGCTGAGAGATGGGAGAGGCCTGTTTTCCCACAAGACCACACCTGTCAACCCTCTCGGCTCGCTGGAGGCGAGGAAAGCCTGGCCCTACCTGACTATGTAAGTGCAACTGCAGGGGGCTGGACTAGATGACTCTAGGGACCTCATCCAACTCTCCTGGCCTGCCCCGCAGAGGACCTTAAGGTCCATGAATAACCATAGTTTAGAGGTCCCGGGCCCTCCACCAGGGCCAGGGCCTTCTCAGTGATGGCTCCAACCTGGTGGAATCCTCTGTCCCATGAGACCAGGGCCCTGCAGGATTTGACCTCCTTCTACAGAGCTATTCCGCCTGGCTTTCAATTTGAACTTAGCCTGATCTTTTAGTCCCCTTCCTTCCCTCCCCCTCCCCTTTTTTACCCGCTCTGGGATCCCACAGCTAATTCTCCCCTGGTCTCCTCGCTGGCCCAAGTAGGACTAATTCAGCCAGCTAGCCCTGGTGATCATCTAATGTTTATTGGATGGATTTCCCCACTAAATTGATTTTGAATTCTGAATTTACTGTTAGTCACGTTTTACACTGTATTTCATGCTGTTTTTGTTGCATCCATTAAGTGCATTGCACACCCTACAGATTTGGTATTGATTTCAAGCACCTGAACATAGAATCTCTATTTATGCTACCGGAGGCCATGCAAGCAGATTTTTGGACTGTTGCGCGCAGCCCCAGGCACAGAACAGCATTCTGGCGCACCCTGGAATGCCGGCGCGATATGGGAAATGGATTAGTCACAGTGGATGCAAACTTCCAGCGAAGACCAGCATTTCAAAGTATTGAAATCTGGGCACTTCAAATACATTCGAGGAGAGAACAAAGGCCACTCCAATCCACAAGCAGTAAAGGGATTAAGAGGGCCAGAAAACACATCCTCAGCATTGAAAATTCACCTGAAAACAACCAAGCCATAAACCTGCCACACACCCAGCAAACCTGAAACCAGCTACCTCACCCTCTTCAGCAAATGCAGGAAGGTTCGAGAATCCCCAAAGAATAGAACCAAATCTTTTAGGTTTCAGCCCCTTGGGCTGAACTACAGATCTGAAACTGTTTTTTTAGTGCCCAACATAGCTCCTGCTGAAGAACTTCAGGAGATGCATTCTGGGTGCAAGTCCATGCCACAGCAGATTGCGGTGAACAGGAATGGAATTCACACTTCTTGAGAATGACACAGATTTCAAATTAGGGGAAGCTGCCATGTTGTGGTCCTTTCCTCGACAAGGCCAGATCATTTTGAATAACGGTGGAGAGAGGACCCTTGTTTTTGTTTTCCAGCAAACACAGTTCCAACCGAGGGAGTCAATAACTCTTATCCCCTTCTCCAGAAAAAGGTCAGGACCCACAACTCCCCACCTGGTCAACATGAGCCATTTGGAATTGCCACATTTGCAAGGAAGAACGTAAGAAGAGCCTGAAGGATCAGGCCAGTGGGGCATCTTGTCCAGCATCCTGTTCTTACATTAGCCAACCAGATGCCTTGTGGGAAACCAGCGAGCAGGATTCGAACACAAGAGCAACACTTTCTTCCTGCGGTTTCCAGAAACTGATGATATTATTATTATTATTTATTCTTCTTTTATATATTGTGATTTTATGTGGTGAACCACCCTGAGATCTACGGGTAGATCTCATTATTATTATTAGTTATTATTATTAGTTGTAATAATCATAATCATATGATCTACCTTTAGATCTCAGGGTGGTTCACGACATAAAATCACAATATATAAAAGAAGAATACATAATAAAAGCAAAACTAAAGGCAACCCAATAATCTCCCCTTCCACAACACAATTCTTGAGCCATTTCCTGTTGTTTCTTGGAAAAAGCCCTTGGCCATTTCTGTTCCAAGAAGCTAGCAAACCTTTCTACTACGTATCAGCAAACTGCATCAGAAGACAGAGCCCCGGGATTAACGCTTTTTCACGCTCCATCAAATCCTCATTTAAAGCCTTTCTGCTGGGGGCTGATACCAAACAACCAACACCTCCCCTACCCTCCAAGGATCAGCCAAAAAAATCCAACTTACACATCTTCCAAGATCTCCAGCTCTGGCTCCATTGGGGAATCCGGGCCCATGCCTGCGTCAACAACAACAAAAAAAGGTTCCCATGAGGAAAAAGAAATTCAAGGAATATCGCCCCCTGGCTTTTGAGGTCTTCAGTGGGGTTCCTCTCTTCTCGCCAGAGTGGTGCATGCAGGGTGGTCTCCCGCTTGGACTACTGCAATGCGCTCTACGTGGGGCTACCTTTGAAGGTGACCCAGAAACTACAACTAATCCAGAATACGGCAGCTAGACTGGTGACTGGGGGCGGACGCCGAGACCACGTAACACCGGTCCTGAGAGATCTGCATTAGCTCCCAGTACATTTCCGAGCACAATTCAAAGTGTTGGTGCTGACCTTTAAAGCCCTAAATGGCCTCGGTCCAGTATACCTGAAGGAGCGTCTCCACCCCCATCATTCTGCCTGGACACCGAGGTCCAGCACCGAAGGCCTTCTGGCGGTTCCCTCGCTGCGAGAAGCCACGTTACAGGGAACCAGGCAGAGGGCCTTCTTGGTAGTGGCGCCCGCCCTGTGGAACGCCCTCCCATCAGATGTCAAAGCGATAAATAACTACCTGACATTCAGAAGACATCTTAAGGCAGCCCTGTTCAGGGAAGTTTTTAATCTGTGATATTTTACTGTATTTTTGGTTTCTATGGAAGCCGCCCAGAGTGGCTGGGGAAACCCAACCAGAAGGGCAGGGTACAAATAAATAATTATTATTATTATTATTATTATTCTGCTAAGAAGGAGCCTGACAAAACTAGACGTTTCTCAGGAAGAGCTACAAAGAGGCACATTAGGTTTGGGGAGCTTATGGGATAATGGTGGGGTGCAAGCATTTGAACGGGGAACCAGAGAGATGGCATATATTTGGGCTGCCATACAAAGATTCAGGGCTTTGAATGGAGAGGGGCACTTCTTGTGTTCCAGGGGCGCAGAAACGCTGGACTTTTTCAGGTATCACGGAACTGAAATTTCCCACCCCCCAAAAAAACTCTGGCCACCGCCCCCTTAAGCTCCATAAACTGAGCCCCCGTGCCCCCACCCCATAAAAAGCATCCTTCAGAACTGCCGCTTCCACAACCCACTAAAGAAAACGGTTCAAACTGTTTAGTTTGATTAATGCATGGGTAGGCTAACTAAGGCCCCGGGGCCGGATCTGGCCCAATCGCCTACTAAATCTGGCCCACGGACAGTCTGGGAATCAGCGTGTTTTTACTGTCTTAGGACAGTGGCAATAAAAGCTCCCCCCGCCCGTCAGACCCTGCATCTCTGGGTTATTTGTGGGGCATAGGAATTCGTTCACACCCCCCCAAGAAATATAGTCTGGCCCCCCACACGGTCTGAGGGACAGTGGACCGGCCCCCTGCTGGAAAAGTTTGCTGACCCCTGGATTAATGCACTTTGCACCTCCGACGCCCCCCTCCCCGCCTTTTACTGCGCCCCCTAGATAATCGATTTGGTCTGAGTTCAACCACCCTGCAAACGGCCACACATTCTCCTGATCCCCGATCATACAGAATCTGTGATCCTGGATCACAGATCGTCTGCTTCAGGCCATGCCAACCTCTGATCTGCAAATGCAGGATACCACCCCCTAGGAAAGTCTCAGATGCTTTTTGGAATGCCCTGCTTTTACAGATTAAGGGTTTTACAGATTAAAGGCAGGAGCCCCTCTGGAATCTTATCAAGAGAGATAAACGAGGTGGGAAAACCAGCAAGAATTTTCTCCCGCCAGGCTTCCCCAAACTGGCGCCCTCCGGGAAGCTTTGGACTACAACTCCCATCAGCACCAGACGCTGCGGACAATGGTCAGGGATGGCGGGAGTTTTAGTCCCACGCTTAACTGGAGGACCAGCGGTTAGCTGCCTTTACACTCCAAGAGATCAGGAGAGCTCGCCTGCGCCCAAAGACCCATTATGACCGGCAATGGAAGGGTGCCTATTAGAATTAACAGGCTTAGCCGAGATGGCAAAATCAATGTTTAATCAGAGAAAAGAGACAAGCATCCCATAAAAGACCCCAGTCAGAACTGCTCTTCCCAGAGAGTAAGAGCCACTCCTTTCGCTTTAATTGGGGTCGTTTGTTTTTGATTGCTACTGACATGCATTTTTATGTTTTTATATTGCAAACCTCCTTGTGATCATCGGATGAAAGGAGATACAAAATTAGTTATTATTGTTTAACATAATTTAAAGTTCCATATTGTTATTCATGTTTTTATATTGTATTTTATACTGCTTTAATACCGTTTTAAATTTGTTGTTAGCCGCCCTGAGCCTGGTTTTTGCACCGGGAAGGGCGGGGTATAAATAAATTTATTATTATTATTATTATTATTATTATTATTATTATTATTAGGTTGGAAGACAATTCAACAGGGGCTGTTCTCCTAATCCTATCTCTCTGCCCACAGTGAGCAGGCAGTTTTTTCTTAACACCCCCATGACATAGTTTAGCGGAGCACAGGAGCCCCATTTGGGGAAGGCGGTTGGCAGCCACCTCCAAACACCGACCTGAATCTCCCGATTCCTGCGAAGACTCGGAGGAGACGGAATCCTGCGAGGACCACTCTTTCTTGAAGTCAAGGCCCAGCCGCTTCCTTCTCTTGGGTGTGTCACAATCACTGCAAACCGGGAAGAGAAAAGACCAGTGATTAAGAACCTTGGAATATAGTATTATTATTATTATTATTAATGATAATAGTAGTGGCACCCCACCCATCTGACTGGGACCCCCCCCCCAGCCACTCTGGGCGGCTCCCAACCTATATAAAAACATAATAAAACATCAAATATTAATAAAACATCAAATCATTTCATCTGCACAACCACCCTGCGAGGTTGGCCATGCTGGCCACATGACCCGGAAAGCCGTCTGTGGACAAACGCCGGCTCCCTCGGCTCAAAAGCGAGATGATGGAAATGTAAGTGATAAAATGTGAAGGTTTTTATGGTTAAAGAGTAATTTAAAAAGGTTAGAAATTATGATATGTAAACTGCTAAAGATGAGGTGAAATGAAAATCAGATAGGGGGGACTTGGGGAAGCCCACCTAACAATGTTTAGAAAAAATAAGGATAAGACAAGAATCTGTTTGTATTGTTTGTTTTTCTGTTTGTGTTGTTTGTGTTATAAAATGAATTTTAAAAAATCATGCCCCTTTCAACTCACTTCCCTGTTTTACTTTTTTTAAAAAAAGGATCTGGGGGAAAGTTTTGTGAAACAGAAAGCTTGCTCACTCCTTTGCAACTTCCCGTTTAAAAACGAAGGAGAGACGGACATGCTTGCTGGGTTCCAGATTGTCACAGCTCCGCTTGAACTGGGGGGGGGGGCACACCAAGTTTCAGGCCCCTGGGCAACGTACAGAGTGCCAGGCACCTTATCATAAGCCACAGCGAGATGCCAGCTGCTCAATGATTAACTTACGGGGCAGGTCGGCTAACTGATGGGAGAGGCTGCTGGGCAAGGTTAACTGCAGGCCCAGAGATAAAATAATATATCTTGCACCCATTTCCTCTCCTCCACCCAGATGCAAAAAAAATGTTCTTGCCAAAACCCCTGAGGGAGTGGGTGAAAACACAGAGAGCCCAGGAGAAGGGAAGGGGATGGGCTAAGGTCTCGCCTGAGACCCCACCAGCCTCTCTTTGTGCTTTAAGTCCAGTGCTGCGTCTTATTTCTGTTCAGGCAGAAAAGTGGCTTCTTTGCTAAATCTAGGAGTTTTTTCTCCCATACACAGTAGGGGCTTCACTACCCACTGAGCGGTGGTTCCCCCTCCCCCCCCCCACACACACTCCCCACACATGTGTTCAGATTGCAAACTGGGCATTTCCAGCACCCAATTCACTGAGTAGAAAAACAGAAATATAAGGGACCATGGGGGGTCATCTAGTCCAACCCCCGGCAACGCATTACTCGAACTCACTACCCTGAGATTAACAAGTCTCATGCTCTACTGACAGAGCTATCCCCAGTTCTGCACTCCACCAGAGCCCTCCCCCCTGGAGATACTCCTAACCTCGCAAAGCTGCTACTGTTGTTGGACTACAAATCCCATCATTCCCCGACTGCTGGCCCCGCTAGCTAAGAGATGATGGGATTTGTAGTCCAGCAGCAGCTGGAGAGACAGAGCCAGGTGGACCCCAAAGGCGTCATTCACAGTTAAGGCAGTTTCCTCTTCTCAAAAAAAACCACTCTTGTTAAAAGCCCCCCCCCCAAAAAAATCCTGTGGTTCAGACAGGGTTACAGACACCATAATTATAAAAACAGTCATGCAGTCGCAGTTTCACAAGAGCCAATTTTTCTGCAAAGCCTTTTGCTTCTACCAGGCAAGAGCAAAAAAAAAAGTCCTGTGCGCGGCCCCCGCCACATGAAAGGCATGCAAACATTATTTGCTCTGCTGCACACCCTGGCAGGAAGAGGAAACCACACACACACACACACACTCCAAGCACGCATTATTTCTTCTTTTTGAACAGAAGTGACATTGTGCAGGCAAACAGTCCTACTGCCAGAAGGCCAGCCCTGAGAGGCAGGAAAGAGTGTTTCAAAGAGGGGAGGCAAGGGAAGAGGTTAGAACAAAGGGGGGGGGATAAAGAATGCATGCATGCAACCACTGGAGGACAAAAGAGAGCATTTAAAAAGCAACCTAAGAAAGCAGGTTTACATGGACTGTGCCCTGGATTTAACAACTGAACTCAGGTTTCGATAAATCCCCATTTGATTTTCCTGTCCCGCTGCTGAGCACATGTGTGCAGCTCCAACCCATTCCTAGCCCCCCCCCCTCGCCCAAATATGCATGCTTAGGATTACAGCCTAATGCACATTTTTTTTCCAAAAGGGAAACTCCCTTCAGAAAGCCTCAGGGCTGCTGCTTGCAGCCCACCCACCCAAAACTCAGATGAACCAGTTCTCTTCTCCAACATGGAGGCAAGATGGTTGCATGGAGTGCGGGGGGGGGGGGGAATGGTATATTGACAGGGCCCCTGAACAACCACAGCCTTCCCCCCCAATACTCCTCTCACCAGCCAGACCCCCCATCTTGCATGTGATTATTCAGCAGGGCACCACACATTAGCCAACAGAAAAATCCCACAAGACAAATGGAAAAAGCAATGGATCTCGTTTCTGGCGCATGCATGCAGATCCTAAAGGTTGTGTGGCATAGTGCTTAGAGCAGGCATGGCCAAACGTGGCCCTCCAGCTGTTTTGGGACTACAACTCCCTCCATCCCTAGCTAACAGGACCAGTGGTCAGGGATGATGGGAATTGTAGTCCCAAAACAGCTGGAGGGCCAAATTTGGCCATGCCTGGTCTAGCAGATGTCACTCAAAGGGGTTAGATTGTGGCCACTGTGGGTTGTTGGTTTTTTACACATCTGTTTATTTATTTGCCTTCATGAAAACATTATTAGCACTTGCTTAAAAAAAAAGAATCAGTTTAGTTTTACACTATTCAACCATGTTTGGAATGGCTGGTTTCACATCTGACCAAAAATAAACGTTAAGAGATTATGGCATAAAGGCTGACTCTTAGAGGCTTAGAATGTGTTGGGGGGGCCACTGTGCAGAGAGAAAAATATATAGATTTCCCCATGTGGGGTAATTAATAAAAGACTTCTGTCAAGGATGCCTTAGCGGAAGTTCCTGCATTGAAGGGGGCTGGCATAGATGACCTTTGGGGGTGCCCTTCCAACTTTAGGATTCTGTAACTAGATCCATAGAGTGGGGCCCCAGCAGAGTTTAGAAATCACAAAATGAGCAGCAGCAGTGAAGCTGTTAGGAATGTGGCTTTTTAGACCTTTTTAATCTCCTGTTTGCACTGAAAATGGCAGGCCTTCTTTCCAAGTAAGCATGCACTGTTTTGCAGGGGGTGAGGCTCCTTCCAGAATAAAAGTGCCCTTAAATTCAGCAAGCGCGTGGACCACACAGCTCAATGCATCAGGTGCGCTCAGGTGCCCCATGCGCAACCCTGAACTGGGAAACAGGACAGCGTTTAAGTCTGCGCACACTCAAAGCGCTTCTAGCCGCCTTCCAGGAAAACAGGATGCTAGGCTTAGATGGGCCTCTGGCCTGGATCCTGCTGTGTTACTCTTACATTTGGGGAGGGGGAGAGAATGAAAGGAAGGTAGGGCAGAGGAAAGACCTTGGGCATTGCAGTGGGGCTGGGCTTGAGGACCTCTGGATTCCCCTTGCAATTCTACAATCCTAGGACGACCCAAAGGAAAACTGATCAGTGTTTAGGGTATGGCAAGGGCACCTTCCAGATGTTGCTAGATTCCAAAGGCCGCCCCAATAATCCCAGGCCTGATCCTGCTGCAAAACTCTTACACTGGGAGTGGAGGGAAAGAGAATGCAAGGAAAGGAAACTGGAAAAGATTTAGTTTCTTTCCAATTCCTGCGTGGCAGTGGGACTGTTCTAGGAGACCCTATATGTCATTCAGAGAGAGAGAGAGAGAGAGAGGAGACAATCCTATATGGCAGTGTTTCCCAACCTTGGGCCTCTAACAGTTTTTGAACTACAATCCCCATCATCCCTGACCACTGGTCTTGCTAGCTAGGGATGATGGGAGTTGTAGTCCAAAAACAGCTGGAGGCCCAAGGTTGGGAAACACTGCTATATGGCACCCTCAAGGGGGGATGGTTTGTTTTGTCCTTATTCTGCATTTTGAGTTTCTATCTTCTATATATATCGCTGCCCCTGCCCGGAACTCCGCGGATGAATATACAAATTTAATTTTTAAAAATTGAGAAATAAAGGGAAACTAACCAGTGCTTAGGTTGGGGTAAAGCAGGAATGGGGGGGGCTCTTCCAGATGTTGCTAGATTCCAAAGGCCACCCCCTCCCCCGCCCCAATAATCCCAGGCCTGATCCTGCTATATATATATATAGAGAGAGAGAGAGAGAGAGAGAGAGGAGACAATGCTATATTGTTTTAATGTTGTATTTTAATCTTGTTTTTTAAATTGTATTTTAATCAACGTGTTTTTATTATTGGTTGTTAGCTGCCCTGAGCCCGGTCTTGGCTGGGGAGGACGGGGTATAAATAAATATATTATTATTATTATTATTATTATTATTATTACTGCTACTACTACTACTAGGCAATCTCGAGGGGGGGGCGATTTGTTTTGTCTTTATTCTGCATTTTGAGTTTCTATCTTGTATATATATTGCTGCCCCTGCCCGGAGCTCTGCAGATGAATATACAAATTTATTTTTAAAAAATGGAGAAATCAAGGGGAACTAACCAGTGCTTAGATTGCGGTAAAGCAGGAATGGGGGGGGGGCTCTTCCAGATGTTGCTGGCCCATCGCTCCCTCCCCCAGCAGAATCCCAGACCGTGCAGCTGCGAGTCCCGCAACATCTGGAAAGGCGCCTCCGGCCTCTTTCCCAACCAGCCAGCTTGGGGGGGGGCTCCTGCAGCTCCGCAGGGACCCCGATTCCTCCTCGGCCCCACACGTGTGTCCCCCCCCCACTACCCCCAGAAAACCCTCCGCCTCCGGCCCCCTCCGGCATTCCTGATCCCGTTAAAGGCTCCCTTTGTCCGGCTCCCACGCGGCCCGGGCGCCCCCCCGCAACCCTGCAAAACAGCTGCTCGCTCTTTCCACCCAGGAGAGAAGTTGGGGGGCAGGAAGCGGGGGGGGGGGTTAACAGACTCTTGCTTTTTCCAAACGCACAAAAAAACCTTTGCAATGTTGCAAAGCCGCGCACGTGGCCTCCCGTTCCGTCCCGCAAACTACCCTTCCCCCTTTTCGCGTGGAATAAAACCATGGAAGACTGCACGTGAGGATCGGACTGCTCAGTCGCTTGCAAAAAGCGACATGCACCCCCCCCCAAAAAAAAATTAAGGAATTTCCTTTTAGGCCCGGTCTGTTTTTATACCACCCCCGGGCAAATCCTGCGTGCACAAAATGACATGCAAAGCTAAATTCCTGCAACAACGCCCCCCCCCCGGCGGACCTGCAAGATCCCCAATTTTCCTCCTCCAAGGCGCTAGTCCTCGTGGTCTTACCTGCCCAGGCCGGTCAGCTTGTCCATATTCAGCGCCAAGGTGGTGACCGGGGACATCGCGGCGGCTCCGTCGCCGTCCGGGAAAAGGGTCTTGGGCCCGACAGCGAGGAAGCCCAGGGTCTTCCTGGATCTCCGGGCTTCGCGGCAGGCCGGGGGGGATCCCGCGGGTACCCGGGCGGTCTCCATCTGGGGCTGCTGCGCGGGAAGGCGAGAGGCTGGAGAGACTCCGGGTTTCTTTCTCGAAGCGCCGCGAAAATCAGAGGAGGAATCCGATCCGAGGGAATGATGGCTGCACGCTTCGGCTGCGAAGACACGTGTCGGGGCGCGTTCCCACGAGCATGCATCCAGGCTCGGCGAGAGGCTGCCGCGCCGACGTGCTCCCTGGTGAAAGAGATGGTGCTTTGGAGAGAAGCAGAAATAAATATCCCGGAGGCTCTTCTTTTCAAAAGCTGGCGCTGCGAGGACTGAGCAAAAGGAGAGAGACGCTCGTTGCACAAGAGGATCAGGGATGCGCGTCGCCCCGAGGGGGGTTTTTATAGGCGGCTGGGAGGCGGGATGCAGGCGAGGAAGCTCCGCCCGGCGACGCGGCTGCCTCCGCGGATGCTCCGCCCGCATCCCTCGCCGCGCCGCTTGCATATTCGAAAAATAACAGAGCCAAGAGGAGAATGTTGGGCAGCCAATGGCAGCGGCGCGGGAAGAAAGGAGGAGGAATTTGCAGGGGGGGGGTGCACCGCGAGAAAAGTGCACGATGCGCGTGCACGTGCGAGCCCGGGAAAGGGGCGAGGGAGGGGGGCAAGATTGCACGCCCTCCAACAGCGCCCGATTTACGCATTAAATAAACAAGCTGCAGTTTAGGGCCCCACTCTCTTGGCCCCCCCCAAAAAAAAATTAAACGGGGGAAAAAAACCCTGGATGTACATTTCCAAAATATAAGATAAAAAAAACAAATTTCCTTTATAAAAATGCATCTTTTGTTATGTGCAAATGGCTTTAGATACTAAATTAAAGGGGGGGGAACCTGGATGTACATTTCCAAAATATAAGATGAAAAAACAAATTACTTTGATAAAAAATGCATGTTTTGTTATGTACAAATGGCTTTAAATACTAAATTAAAGGGGGGGAACCTGTATGTACATTTCTAAAATATAAGATAAAACAAAATACATATTGCTTTGGATACCTATTAGGTCCATAAATGACCATATAGCATATATTCAACACAAAAAACGGCGGCAATTTGTTGTTGACAAAGGACAGCTGGACATATAAAGGGCCCCATTACCTTCAGTAGTTTAGGCCCTCATCAGACCTCAATCCAGCCCTGGAAACAGGAACGACCCCTTCCATATTGATAATTTTACTGTTTATACCCCACCCATCTGCCTGGGTTGCCCCAGCCACTCTTGGGCAGCTTCCAACATATAGAAAAACCTAATAAAACATTAAACAAACACAGCATGGCCTTCAGATGGCTTACGGGTCGGATAACAACAATAATATTATTTATACCCGCCCATCTGATTGGGTTGCCCCGGCCACTCTGGGGGGCTTCCAACAAATACGTAAAGGTAAAGGGACCCCTGACCATTAGGTCCAGTCGTGGCCGACTCTGGGGTTGCACAGTCATCTCACTCTATAGGCCGAGGGAGCCGGCGTTTGTCCACAGACAGCTTCCGGGTCATGTGGCCAGCATGACTTAGCCGCTTCTGGCAAACCAGAGCAGCGAACGGTAACACCGTTTACCTTCCCGCCGGAACGGTACCTATTTATCTACTTGCACTTTGATGTGCTTTCGAACTGCTAGGTTGTCAGGAGCTGGGACTGAGCAACGGGAGCTCACCCCGTCGCGGGAATTATTATTATTATTATTATTATTAATACCCCGGCCATCAAGCTGGGTTTCCCCAGCCACTCTGGGCGATTTCCAACAAAGAATTTAAATACAGTGGTGTGTTAAACATTAAAAGCTTCCCTAAACAGAGCTGCCTTCAGATGTCTTCTAAAAGTCCGATAGTTGTTCTTCTCTTTGACATCTGGTGGGAGGGCGTTCCACAGAGCAGGTGCCACTACGGAGAAGGCCCTCTGCCTGGTTCCCTGTAACTTGGCTTCTCGCAGTGAGGGAACTGCCAGAAGGCCCTCGGTGCTGGACCTCAGTGTCCGGGCTGAACGATGGGGGAGGAGGAGACGCTCCTTCAGGTATACTGGACCGAGGCCGTTCAGGGCTTTCAATGTCAGCACCAACACTTTGAATTGTGCTCGGAAACGTACTGGGAGCCAATGGCAGTCTTTCAGGATTGGTGTTATGTGGTCCCAGCGGCCACGTGCAGTCACCAGTCCAGCTGCTGCATTCTGGATTAGTTGTAGTTTCCGGGTCACCTTCAAAGGTAGCCCCACACAGAGCACTTTGCAGTAGTCCAAATGGGAGATAACCAGAGCATGCACCACTCTGGCGAGACGGTCTGCGGGCAGGGAGGGTCTCATCCTGCGTACCAGGTGGAGCTGGTAGACAGCTGCCCTGGACACAGAATTGACCTGCACCTCCATGGAGAGCTGTGAGTACAGAATGACTCCCAGGCTGCGCACCTGGTCCTTCAGGGGCACAGTTACCCTATTCAGGACCAGGGATTCCTGCACACCCACCCACCCCTGTCCCCCCCAAAACAGTACTTCTGTCTTGCCAGGATTCAACCTCAATCTGTTAGCCGCCATCCATCCTCCAACTTGGGGGGGGGTTCAAAGCCAGCCAAGAAGGCAAGGTGTATAAACTATATAGAATATGGACCTAAGACAGAGAGCTTTTCACCCCACTGGACCAGCCTGTTGAAACAAAAACATGATGGAGGTGGAGAAGAAGGATCATGGAAATTCTATAACTGTGACGTTGGAAGAGACCCTGAGGATCATCTAGTCTGGCCTGCAGGACTCTGCCTCTACCCCATACAGGGATTGATCCTGCAACCTTGGTGTTATCTGCACCTCCCTCTAAGCCAGGCGTCCCCAAACTCAGCCCTCCAGCTGTTTTGGGACTACAACTCCCATCATCCCTAGCTAACACGACCGGTGGTCAGGGATGATGGGAATTGTAGTCCCAAAACCGCTGGAGGGCCGAGTTTGGGGGTGCCTGCTCTAAGCGACTTAGCTGCCCTGTGATCATTTGCAAGGGGATCCCTTTTAATTCCACTGGATCAAACCTTCCCCCCAGAAACCATAGGAAAGGATTATTAGTTCTGTGTGTGCTCTGAGCACTTAGTTTGCTCTTAGTTCTGTGCTCTTAGTTCTGTGTGTGCTCTGTTGCCAATGAACCTTATTTTGGGGGGAGTGTCCAGGGGAGGGCAAGGGGAGCAACTTGGGAAGGGGTGCCTGTGGCAAATAATAATAATAATAATAATAATAATAATAATAATAATAATAATAATAATAATAATAATAATAATTTATTTATATCCCAACCTCCCCAGCCGAAAAGCCGGGCTCAGAGAAACTCTCTGCTTTCCCCGAAAAAGTTGGCAATCCCGTTTCTTTAAGTGCTAAAAGCTCTGATGGATGATCTGGCTATGCTGCAATTGGCAAATGACATGGTAATTATTACTATCATCATTATTAAATTTATTTGCCTTCCCTCCACCAGCAGGTCCCAGGACAGCTTGCAACAATTTAAAATCCAGTATCAAAAACAGCTAAAACAAACTACAGGAAGGAAAGAGGAAACATTAATCTCATAGCATCTTCAGGAGTTTTAAGGATGAGTGGTACGGAAATATTCTTAATACGTAAATATATAAATAAGGAAACTGCTCCTTTATTTCGATGGAGATGCTTGCAAACGCCATCAGCTTTGAGGCTATTTTTGGAGTTGAATATTTTTACCTGACCTGTTTTCCCATTTAAACTTTTAGGTACTGTAAGATAACATGAATGGGTGGGGTTGCTGCTGTTGTTTTAAAGTGTTAATGCTGTCATTAGCAGCGTGGGAAGAGCAATGGAAGAAGAACTGGAAATTTACAGCCTGTGAAGTATTGAGGGAAAATCTAATCAAGATGTTTTATAGATAGTACTTAACGCCTACCAAAAAGCTAAAATGTATAAGACAAAAACAAATCTGTGTGGTAAAACAGAGGGGACACTTATACACGTTTGGTGGACCTGTGAAAAAAATCAAAAGCTTCTGTAACACAGTGTATGATGAGCTTAAAAAAATGTTTAAGTATAACTTTATGAAAAATACAGAAGCTTTTCTACTAGGGATAACGGACACAGGTATAGCAAGAGAAGATCAGAAAATGATCCTCTATGCCGCAGGCGTGGCAACGATCCTAATTGCTAAAAACTGGAAAAAAGAAACTGTGCCAACAAAAAAGGAATGGCAAGACTAACTGTTAGGGTATATTGAACTGGCTAGATTAAGAGAGGGAATTAGAGATCACACTAGACAAGAGTTTCAAAAGGCATGGGGAAAACGCAGAGAATACTTCCCAAAACAGTGCCCTAAAATACGTACCTGGATTTGTTTCGATTAATGTCTGCAGGAGACTTTGTGGATATTTAAGTTATAATTAGAAAAATCTTAATAATTATTCATAAAGGAAACAGTTTATAAGAAGTAAATAAGGAGACCAGATCCAGGATAAAGGAAGTCTTTTATTTGGTTGTTTGCATTGTTGTATGTTATGTTTATTGTATTTCTGTATTGGGGGGGTGGGGGGTTTATGTTATGTTGTAAATAAAATTTACAATAAAATTTACAAATAAATAAAGTGTTAATGCTGTAGTGGTATTTACACTTTTTATTATGTATTGTTATTGCACTACTGTATTTCGAATATTTGTTGTGAGCCTGGTTGTGTTTGTGGAAAATTCAGCCTACACTGGCTATGAACACCAGCTTGGAAAAACGAAGGCAGTTTTCTGAAGAAAAGGAATGCAGCAATTCTGATAGAAATTACTGCACCGCCCTTTTAAAATCACCTTATTTTTGTATCCCTTGCACTCCTCTTACAATGGTGTACGTAGTGTAAAGGTGAAAACAATTTTCACCCCTTTAGCTCCAGAATGCTCACTTTGAAACACAAAGGAAACTAATTTAAATTTTATTTATGCACTCATTTAAATTTTATCTAGGTGTTTGTGGCTAAACTGCACATAGCTCCTTTGGTCTGTGATGTTGATTGGATTTTATTGATTGGATTTCATTCTCCAGCTGCCGCCCCTTCTTTCTGAAGAATGCCAGGGCGCATTTTAATGGGTTGCGGGTTTGCTTGGGGATGCAGTTTTGAATTTCAAAGCACTTTTATTCAAGGCAAAGAAGCACTTTGCCACAAGGTCACCAGAGATGCTGGAGCTGAGATTCCTGCCTTGCAGGACTCTTCTAACTCTACAATTCCATGATTCTAAGCTAGTGCCTACCCTTCAGAGGTTTCGGACTAAAGTTCCGGGCACTTTGCCAGCTAATAATAATAATAATAATAATAATAATAATAATAATTTATTTATACCCCCCCCATCTGGCTGGGTTTCCCCAGCCACTCTGGGCAGCTTCCAACAGAACACTAAAATACAATAACCTATTAAACATTAAAAGCTTCCCTAAAGAGGGCTGCCTTCAGATGTCTTCTAAAAGTAAAATAGTTGTTTATTGCCTTGAGATCTGA